CATATCTATTCCGTACAAACACAAGCCATATGATGACTGAGACTCTAAAAGTTCTATTTTGTATTCACAATTATAACTAGTATCCACAAACTTTATAACTTTAAACTCATAACTGTACAGTGTTTGTTGCAGCATTATTAAGTTCCAATAATCTGTAAAAATACATTAGATTGTGCTATACATTAAGACAACTAAAGATCAACATGACTTCTGAGTGCTGAAGAACTTTGTTCTTGTCCAGTTACTAACATGGTGACCTCATATGATACAGTGAACTGTAACCTTCACAAGATACAATATATTTCATATTAGAAGAGGAGAAATGTAATAATCCTTATGTATAATGTCGATGCAAAAAGAATACCCAGTCTTGACTATCCTCAGAAACAAATTCTGTTTTTGGTGTAAAGGGAAACAGAGCAGTGAAAATGATATGAATGGATCACTGAAAATCAGTGATGACACCAGGTGTTTGTGAAAAGGGTAAGCATGTCCTGCCCTAATGGTAGCACTCGTCTTTTGAAAAAGTTTGTCCAGAAAGGAAGTACTTTTTGTGTTACTATTTTTTGCTTATGTGTATATGGTCACATGACCAATGACAAGGAGATTCCTTCTGTAATTGGAGAACCATGGCCCCCACATGAATGCAACAAGCAATCACAATAAACACTGAGTCTAATAACAAACATTATACATCTGTTGAAACAAGAAAATGAGGTTTCAACTTCACTGGTTCAGTGATATTATATACTAGGCACATAAAGAAACTGTGCATACAAAAATTTAAAATCTAAATTTATCAAACCCGTGTAGACACATAAGGATTTAAGCTCAGAGATTAGTGACATGTATCCAACATGCATGCACATGTCACGTTCCGTGATGTCAGTTGGTTCGTCCTTGAGACGTTACTATCCGTTGTTGCACGTGCATTCCGGGAAAGAGAAACAGAGCAAATGAATGCCACAAAATACTGTCACTTTGGAAAGCTCAACCCCTGCCCTTGCGATCGTTCAAAAAATTAAACGGCTATTGAAACGCATAGCATGCCAAGGCTCACGTCTGCACAACGTCATGAGGCCATTGGGATGGTCCGTGGGGGAATGTCTCAACGACAAGTTGCTGCACATTTCCACTGCCACCGGAACACCATTTCTGCACTGGTGAGACGCTACCAGAACACAAATGACGTCATTGATAGGCCACATTCTGGACGTCCACGTGTAACAAGGCCAAGACAGGACAGATGGATAAGGGTGACCCATCGTCGCCACAGGTTTCAGACAGCAGTGATGACTGCCCGAACCATCCCAGGACTTCGCCGTATCCACCCCAACACAGTTCGACAACGTTTACGTCATCACGGGATCAGACCACGACGTCCCGTCATACGCGCCAATCCCCACACAACGTGCCTATAAACGCGTGGGAGAACGTTATGCACACGCCTGTGTCTTGGAGAGGAATCGCTTTGGTGGTGGTTCCGTGATAATTTGGGGTGGAATAACAACACACCAAATAACTCCTTTGGTGATTGTTCAGGACAACTTAACTGGTTTGGGCTACAGGGATCAGATTCTTCGACCTGTGGCAATTCCTTTTCTGCAACGTAATGGCCCTGGGTTAACATTCCAACAGGACAATGCCTGCCCTCATACGCCAAGGGTTGCTATGGATTTCTTGCAACACCACAACGTTGACTTACTGCCTTGGCCTGCAAATTCACCGGATCTCTCCCCGATAGAGCATGTTTGGGACGAGATGGATCGACGTCTACACCGTCTTCCTCATCCGCCAGATAACGTCCTTGACCTTGCAACAGAGCTTGAGAGAATCTGACGTGACATCCCACAAGCCTTCCTTGCACGTTTGATAGGCTCTATGCGTCGTCGATGCACTGCTGTTCTAAATGCCGATGGTGGACATACCTGTTATTGAGCTTGTGATATGGTCGTTTGACCCCTGTCCTGCTTGTGGACTCGTGACGTCATTGTGATTGACTTTTCAATTGAAATTCTCCCGACTTGTTATGGTCTCATGATCCCTCCATTAAAGTTTATATGTACCTTTGACATTGTTATCGTACTTATCAACTGGGATAATATTTTGACAATGCACAGTTTCTTTATGTGGCTAGTATAGATGGCACAGAAAAAGATCTTGCTATATGCTCACTTGACTTTTTCAGATGAGCATGTTCCATAAACATGGCAAATACATTCTTCAAATCATCCCTCACTACAACTCGGGTATTGGGGTCCATGGATGACCCTTTGCATTATAGATATACAATACATGGTATTGCCATGCGCATTTATAAATATACAATCTATAGTTAAAAATCTCATGCATTGTACTTATAATCCCATTGTTGGACAGTGGGTCACAGATTCCGAGAAGTCTAGTAAATAACAGCCGTGGTGAAGCGATGAAGCACAAGGAGGCCTTGACGAGTGCTATCTCCTGATAGGTCACTGAACTTGTACTTGGTTGCGTCTTCCAAACCCCTTAGCTTACAGGGAGTGGGCATTCTTGAGTTAACATGGTTTTCAGCTGCAATCTTTGTACAAGACAAAGGGACGGAGACTCTGCAAGTACATCCCGTGTCACTCCAATCTACCAGATAAGCCCCGATTGGTGAAAGTTCGTAGAACCTTGACTCAGCCAGCCTCTGCTTCGAAACCACTCCCTACAGTCTCCAACTGGGAAAAGGGAAGGTGGCCCAGTATGCTCAACGAGATTAACGTTCATTTCTGTGTAACACTGAGAGAGAGAGAGAGAGAGTACAATATGTGAGATAGGATAAGCTTTAAAAATAAGGATGTATATCTTAAAAAGAATTTACCCTGTGATAACATATCCTACTATGTTGTCATTTACTATCAAAGCATTTTTTCTACAGACATATTTGATAATTATCAACATGAGCATTGCTCTCCATGTGACTCCCCTGTCTTGTCATTCATTGACTAGTCGCCGTTTGATTTCCCACAGTACATGACACTTTGATCACAAAAACAAAATGTTGTCATTTAAACATGACTTTCAAAGTGTCCATAACTCAGTCTCACTACCACCATGGATGACAAGGTGGTAATTAGACTGTGATTGCTGGGAATACGTTTTCATAGTGTAGGCAATAAGCAGACCCTCGTGAACAGGGTAAGTGGAAGTTGATAGCATATAGAATGACGCAAAATATGCAAAATATTCACACGTTTCTTGCCAACTTTATTGTTAACAGTTAATGGGTCTAAGTTTTATCCAGTCAAATGAAATGAATGATGAACACAAATCCCAAGTCTAGAAGATCGTTGGATTATAATTATGTGTTTTTTTACTTCAAACATTTTCGAATTCAGAGTTTACACGCAAAAGTTGAAAATACTTTGCTGACGGCAAGTCTTTATGATAAAGTTGTCTTCTACGATGTTCGTCTGTTCATGTGATTGATCAAGAACAAGCTGAATGTTTCTTAAGCACCTGAAAAACCCATAAAACAAGGCTATACATTGTCACTTCATATTGCCATTAGCACTGAATTTCTCTAGTTAATCTTTACAACATGATTAACTTGAGCACAACAGCGGATTTGTTGATATGCTATTCCCAATGGCATGAAGATATGTGACTGCTGGCAAACATTTTTTCATGGGACTCACTGATTACCCGAAGGTTTAACCGAGACTGCAGCATTATTGCAAGGGATGACTGTTGGATTAACTTGTAGTCTGTCTCCCAGTCCCTGAAACATATTATTTTCCCTACTGCCAAGCCCTATCTGCAGTGCTGAAGCCTTAAGTAAAGCAAGTCTAGATTTCCCCAGGTTCTGCATCTCTGGTCTCCCTGGGGCTCCTTATCAACTTAAATGGGCTTGTTTGTTACTATCAAAATTATGTATATTCAGAGACTAGGCGTTAGTCTAGATTAACTTGGTACTGTATTGGATTAATTTGAATCCCTGTCTTATCCAGGTACAATCCCACCTATAATACAACACTTCAGTTATGATACAATCAAACAGCTGCAGTTCATCTGAGTGCTACAAATATAAGGCTACCATAACATACATGGTTTAAACGGTCATACCCCACTTTACCGGACAGCTGATGTGATGTTAACGAATTAAGAGTGAGTGAGTTAATATTTAACGTCACATCGGCAATATTTCAGCCATATCGTGACATGATAACGAATTAAGAGTAATGGTCCGCTAGTTTGCCGGCTATAGTCTGTTTTCAGTGATTACTTGTCACCCATAGGCATTTGGGGGACATGAGCGTTTGGCAGACTGAGTTCGAAATCATTAATTACAAGGCACCAATTTGTTTTGAGTGAACTCAATTTCTAGTAACTGATTTTTGTTCAATCGAATTATATTAGCTGAATTGAGTGAAGCTTATTCCAATGATTATTTCTGAAGTTTTGCCTGTATATAAAGAACGTAGACATGGTTCGCTCATTGCAAAATGGCAAACGCTCAAGTTAACATTCCAAATTAGGGGGAGGTAGGTTGACACTTAATCTATCTAGGTCACAAGTTTAGGGTTAAGAGCACAAAAATGGACCGAGTTCATTTGAAACGTTGTAAAACAGGTTGTCCTGCAACGGCCAACACCGTCAGTGATGTTCTCAGCAGTTCCAGGAACACACACAACCACCATCAAAGACCAAGCTCAGTTCAGAAAATAGTTATGCATATTTATTTATGTCTTTAGTTACCATTTTTTTGTTTTCTGAAAATGTACGAAATATGTATTTATGAATTTTATCATGAAGATAAAATGTACCCAAAATGTTGAATTGGTGAAATATGAAATATCGAGATGAAGCTACAGTGTGTACTTTCTTAGGCCGAAACAGACTATAAGTTAATACCCTATTGTTTAAAGGATTATCACGCATCAGCGAAATTTTTATCTATAACAAAAGCGTCCGGCAAAACCGGGAACCCCCCCGGTTTAAACATCTTGCAAGATTCTTTTTTTTCTGCTACTCACCAGTTGCATTCCATTTAGTTCATCCACAAGACTCAGATTTCCTCCAACCATTTTGTCCAGTGATTCCTTAAATTCCTTTAACTGTTCAAGGGTTTCATTCTTGGTTTCTTCATATTCCTCTGGTTCTAGATCCTCTCTGTGAACAAAAGTCAATAGTGACAACTAATTACAGCAAACACCCGCAAAAAAACCCATTTTCAGTGGGTGTTTGTAATCAATGACTTTGTATTTGTGGTCTGACAGGAGAAATTCACCAAATAACCTGAAGGAACAAGAAAGACTATGCAATGCCAGAGCCAAAGATGGAAAACAAAATGCAGGTATCATCATTACATAGTTAATTTGTAGCGTAAAGTCCTTGTTTCTATTACTATCCACAATATTTATTCAGTCAAATGAGTTGGGTTCAGTGCCACAGTTTTCCAACTATATTACTTTATGTCAGCTTGATATGGGAGCAAAGTGCAAAGTGAATGCAGGGCTTTGAAATATACTAGGTAGGTGAAACGCACAAACACATAGGTCATCTTCATCATCCATGAACTGTAACTATGAGTCCCTACAACTCTCATGCATCTGCATTGCAACAAAATCACGTCTTTCCACAAACACCTCCTGAGTAGATGCAAATGATTAGGGAGGGAGGAGTGAATACTTCATTGTGAGAAAATATATGAGGGACAGATGGGTCCCTGAAAATACCTGAGGGACTGATGGGTGCTGACATTTAGTTATCCTTTGAATAGTTAACAGCTACAAGTTGATCATGAATAGCAATACAACTTAAAGTTTGAGAAGGATTCACTTTGGATACTGTCTTTTTTGACAACTTGGTCAGGCACACTGGAAACAACAATACTGACCATAAGAAGCATGTCCCAAACCCATGTTCACCAATAAAAAACCTCAAGGTGCGCAGAGTCGTCTGTTGAAAATTGTTGGATCGTAAGTACACTGTATATAGGCCACATAAGCTAGGTAAAATGACACTGGCATGTGCAACTATACATGTGTGAATTTGTTACATGGAATGTGTGGTCATTAAGTAAAGTATTTCCATGTATTCATGGCTGGTGATGACACGCCCCACACTGAGGAGCAGCCACTGCTTGATGTGTCCGTAAAATATACCAAGTATTTATTGGATGATTCCAAAGTAACAGTTTCTGATTCGTTTTCAAGAAGTGTTTTTGAATAATTACGAAGAGATCATCAAGGCATCGTCAAATGATATACAATATTCCTTTGAACTATTTGTGAATCTATACCATTCAGCTGAGGATTGTCACAAAGTGTGTGTTATGAGGAAAAGTGGGAGCATTGGTATACCGACTCAGCCACCATGGTGGGACTCGGATCTCAAGAAGATTAAGAAAGACGAATACAGAGCTCTTAGACAACATAGGCATTTTGGAAAAGACATTTCTGGATTCAGAACTTTACACTCTCTACTTTAAAAAGGCATTTAATGAAAAAAACAACATTATTTCAAATATAAACAACATCAACTCATAGAATGAAGAAACAGTCCGAAGCTCTTCTGGAAAACTATAAAAGGATCGAGGAAAACATCTTCTAACAGTAACCATATTTCAGCAAACCAATGGATCGTTCATTTCAGTGCTCTTTTAAACTTTGACTACTTGCCTGATTATGAAAGTATATCTATCGCTATTGTCAACGAGTCTGTAAGCACCGATGATCTCCCTTTATTAGAAAATGTAAACAAACCATTTACAGAACAAGAAGTTTCTAATAGTTTAAGTAAGCTACTTACAAATCTCCTGGCGAAGATGGGATAGTCTGTGAATTTCTACAATTGACTAAACATTATGTAACCCCTCTATTAACAATATTGTTTAATAAACTCTTTGATACAGGAATATTCCCTTCTCAGTGGGGGAAAAGCATTATATGTCCGCTTCATAAAGCAGGTGATAGACACAACCCGGCAATTTACCTAGGCATCTCACTCATCAACTTCATGTGTAAGGAGTTAACCTCCATACTGAACTCACGACTCCAGATCTGGTGTGACAACAATAAAGCGATCCACGAAACTGTTTTACAGTCAATCACTCAAAAGTATATATCATAAAGGAATTGAAGGTTTTATTGTTTATTCATCGAGTTTTCGAAGGCCTTTGATTGCATTCATCACAATGTCTTACTAAATAAACTGAAATGTATGGGTATAGATGGTAAAATCCTCAAGATATTTTGTGACATGTATGGTAAATTATCAGCTTGTGTGAAAACTGGAACAGGTCTCTCAGAATATTTCACATGAAACATGGGAACTTGTCAAGGACGTATACTAAGTCCAAAATTATTTACTATGTTTATCAATCAACTAGTCACCATGCTGGAAGTAAATGGTGGTCATGTTACTTTTATATCAACTGAAATTCCAAATGTATATGCACTACTATTCGCCGAAGACGTATCAAGGATAGCAGATACTACTCTGCAACTACAAAAGAAAATCAATGTTCTTGAAGAATTTTGTGATAAAACTGGAATGAAAATTAACTTAGACAAATAAAAAATAGTAGTGTTTCGAAACGGCGGCCAACTGAGGAACTATGAAAAGATGAATACCATGTCCTCCTGTGTTGCCCCAAGTATCACTATCTACGGAAAACATATATCAACCAATATTTCTTTGAAAATCCAACTTTGCATAAATTCGCTCAGCTCATGCAATCCACTGATATAAAAACAATCCAAGCTACAGCTATGTTCCTGTACAAACTGTTCAAAGCACGTCGTGTAACCTCATGAACTCTAAAACTAAACTTATGCTTGCAATGTACATTATCAATCGATTGCAACACTGTATATTGGGCCCCGAGGCCTTAAACTGTAATAAATCTGTCTGTCTGTATTCATGGTGGTGCTTAGACATAACGGAATGAATTATGTGTTATTTCAACTGTTTTAGGAGTGATGCAAAAGGATTATTTAAATATATTTTGAACATACAGAAATGGCATTGGGAATGTTTGGCTGTCATTCATCATATCCAATGAGTTCCAGACATTTGATATGTATTGACCATACCTTAGTAGTTTTGACTGTTTGTGTAAACAATAACCCGATATCAACCCACCGGTGCTCAGTTGATCTCTCATGCATGTGGTACACCAGGATGTGGATACTCACATACTTTGATCATTAGAGACCAGGCTTCTCCACATATAAAAGAAATTAGCCATGGAACCTTACCATACTTACTGTTTCTATATATTGTTGTTAATAGTAAAAGGATTATGTGAGTACACACAAGAAGATTCTTTCCCCAAACACGGTTGTTACAATCAAACTTTGATAATGAGAGACACTCATCCCCCTGTTGAAAACGCAGGGCATGCTCGTCTCCTTAGTCGTCCTGCCAACGTGTTCAAGAAGACATGTCCCCAGTCAGGCAAGGGTAAAATGAAGAGCTTGGGCATCTAGATGCCAAAGGTGCTGCTACCATGGCATCACTTTCAAGGCTTTGAGGTGCCACACTTTTGAGAAAGGACTTGCTAAGGAATACAGAGAGAATTCAGCTATCCGGTCAGTGGTGTATACGATAGAGCGACGACATCACTTCCGCTTATGGTGTTATTTATGGTTAATAAAGCTCCCACCATCTATTAAAAACAGCCCCCTAAGCCTGTACCATTGTTCGATGTCCCCCATGAATCGTTGACAATTTTGATAAACCTATTATAGATATGGTATCACAAAAGTATAACAAAAGAAAAATGTCATAAATGAATCAAGAAGACAAAGTTAGATACCAGGATTTAGCGTGGGAATGGTTAGATATAGTGTGTGATTCTCTGAATACCATATCACACATAGCAGAAGAAACATGGGTGACTATGACACCAGTTTTAAAGTTCGCGTAGAATCCGCCATAACTTTCTGGAAAGATTGAAAAACCATAACTTGGTATCCAACCTCTTTGATAGTTTTACCAAATACAATAAAACCATCGGATTACTTTTCTTATTTACTTTTCAATTACGAATCTACATTGACATCGAGGAAACAGTTTATTGTGAATCTCCTATGATTTACTTCGTTTTGGTAAGGAATGCTTGTCGAGCTTGTTCCGTACCCTGTTCTATGAGCTTTTTTTCTCTACTTCACTGATACCACTGGTTTGCCGGGACTTTGTTCTTATCTCTTCTCTCATCTTGTGGTATTTGGAGAAGTCTGACAGCACTAGCCTAAACTCTTCTTCACTTATCTTACTATTGGACATCGCTGTCGAGATATGATCTTATTTAAAGGTCACATGCAACGTAAAACACAACTTTGCAGATTCTGATACCTTTCAGTATGGACCTACCGAAACAAATCATAAAAAATGCAAATTCAACTTAAAAAGTTGAAAAATAACGCGATGAAAAAACCGCGCAAAATCGTAGTTCAAACGATTCACTAATTTTCCCCCAGCATTTGGGGGGAATTCAAGTGGTTTCAACAGCTGGGCTGCGCTCATAGCACGTGCGCAGTGAAATAGGTTCACGCAACTTGGAAGCGGGTTGTCCGGTGAATACTCGGTGAAGGCTTTGGTGTGAGCTATTTTTCTAATGTTTTGTTGATATCTCACAGGCGCGAGCTTTTTATATGTAATGACAGTAAATTAACTGTTTATATAATTTAATTTGTCTATTTCACCACACGTTCTTCTTACCGAGTCACTTTCTCAGTTCGATACTTAAAAGCAATGTCATTATTTAGCGTTGATAGAATTTCTAACTGTGATATAGATATGTCGTAACGTCACAGACAAAACTCAATGTCTTGTTTTATTTACACCTGTGTGTCTGCCTGCCTGTCTTCTAATGACAATATTCAATACACAACTGCGATCACTGACCACATGCAATTTGAACTTCAATCAGGCTATACACCATAAACAAAATGCATTGATTTATGGCCCGAGTTCGGTCTCTGTCACATTATGTAATTACACAGACAGGCAGGTGTGATACTTGAACACATGACATGTTATGATGTCTGTTGATTGCAAAATGTTATACACAAAAAATGAGCATGTATTTACAAAACCCAACATCTCTATATATACACACACAATGAGCCGTGAGGGCATCTGCAAATGAACCAGCCGTTACA